AACGATACGGTTCGATGTGCTTTGGCAGCCAACAACAACAACAACGAATAGAGCCACCGAAGATCAGACGACGCACTTCGTTGAGATTCGACGACGGTGCTCTTGAAGAAGTGGACAGCGAACCACGACGAGCCGAGTTCAGCTGCCAGCAGCAAGAGTCTGTGTTCAGAGAGATTGCCGAGAATGAACAAAGGCAAGACGAGTTGACTAGAAGACGGGGTGAAACTGCGAAAGGTCGCTCCAAAACGGTATCGTCAATGTGGGATGTAGAGGTGAGCGTCTTTACATGAAAATCGTTACATGAATTGTTGTTAACACCGTCATGGAAATGCTGCAAATTTTGAACTGAACTTGAACTGAGGTAGATGTGACGGGTCTGAGTTGGGAGGTGGATTTGAAGTTTGACCTGAGGTACACCTGACGGAGCTGGTTCGGGGTGGATTTGAAGTTTGACCTGAGTTGTTAATGTGGCGAATCTGATTTGAAGTAGATTTGCAGTTTGACCTGAGGTATGATAGATGTGAAATCGTGTGCAATTTCATTTCAGAACTTATCCGAGCTGTATCCTGCTGTTGATTTTTCGTCATTGGTTAGCACCAGCAACACAAGTCCGAGCGCATTGTTCGGCAATTCATTCTCCTCCTCCCCACCCACAACAACATCAACTCCGAAATCCACGATGTCGGATCTTCGACGCCTAGACGATTTTTTGAACACTAGAAGACGACGATGCCAGGCGAAACCAGGCGAGACACCTGAGCTGCCGTGTGACCTGAGGCTTGGCTTGAAGCTTCGTCTGGAGTCGCGAAAGCCGTTTCCGTGGATGGTGACAACAGCACCGAATCAACAAGCGCCTACACAAAGTGAATTTGCACTTCATAGGCTTTCTTATGGCACTAGGATATCTGGCACTGGGATTGTGAGATGAGCTCTTATTTTTCACACATTAAACAAGAAGAGGACGCTGTCCAACACACGCAACACATGCGTATAAAGTAGGCGAGGGTGGTGGACTTT